GTTGTTTTTTTTTTTTTTTTTTTTTGATTTTTTTTTTGAAAACTTACCTGGGGGCTGAATCTTGCTGTCTGTAATTTTGGGGAAGTGAAATTACACCTTTTAGGAAAGAAATAAATATTTGTTATAGGGTGGCTATATTGTTTAAGTATGGCAACTGTTTGAACTTGCTTTAGAGTTTGAACTGTTAAGATGAGTCCTGTGAAGATGGAATAGTAGGTACTGAGCTAGTGAAATGATCAGAAATACATGGTAAGTTAATTCATTGCATGATTTTGCACCATATCATGTGTATCTGATGTCCATATGTAGGGGAAAGAGGGCATACTGTGTTTACATGGGCCTGCTGTTGATTAAGAGAAAACTGTATGGAATCATCTTTTAAAATAAGCATCTGCTCTTAATTCCCTCTATTTTTAGGTCCAGCGGAAGATGCTAGAGAAAGAGATGAATGATCTTGGTCTTGACATGGGGAATAAAAATGAGGTAAGGTTTCTTGATAACTAAATAGATCAAACAGATATTTAAAGAGTGACACTTTCAAGAACCTTGTTGGAGTCGTATGATAAATTTGCTTGGGCATTTTGAAAGTCTTTTGTAAAATGTACATCATTAGAAGTTCATTGATACATTGGTCCATATCGTATTGGCACCAATAAAAGGAAAATTGGCATTATTGGCAGTCAGCTTTTTTGCTGATGTGGCTGATAATGTTGCCAATAAACGTTGTGTGCATGCATGCAGCTGCACCATTCATAGGGTAAGGAATGCAGCCCAGCAGCTTGGAGAGAAGTGTCCAGCTGGTAAGTCTGTTAAGGGGGAAGAGGCATGGGGGGGGTGGGTACAGATTGAGGCCCCTGCATTGAGGGAGGGAGGGAGTGGGGCCAGGGGCAGGTGCTGCCCAGCTGGGGCAGAGTGGGGTGTGGTACAGTTGTGAATGGCTTGTCCAGGGGTGGGGAGGGGTGGTTCCTGCTGCTACATGTACCCCGAAGGAAGGCATGGGGTGCATGTGCCCCCCAGATTGCACGCAGGGCAAGGATGGGCTGCCTGCTGTAAGCTGGGGCTGCAGGTGGTGTGAGGCTCTTCCTGGGCCAGGGCTACACTTGGGGCAAGTAGTGGCGGCGCTAGGAGGGGGGCTATGGTGTGGGCTTAAGCCACCGCAAAATTTACCGTAACCTCCCCTCCCTGCCCAAACTCCCCTCCCAGTGTCACTACCGCCGCCTGCTATGCCCCAAGCACAGCCCTAGCCCAACCCCCTCACTGGGAAGAGTCCAGCACAGGCCACAGTGGCAGTCTGCCTCCACCTTGTGCGCAGATCTGGGGCATGTGCCCCCCATGCCTTCCCTGGGGGTGCGCGCAGCAGCAGGAGCTGCCCCCCTTCCACAGCTCGCCCCAGCTGGGCAGCGTTTGCCCCAGCCCCACTACCGCCCTCACCATGAGGGCCTCAATCTGCGCCCCCCATCTCCCCTTCCCTGCCTCCTCCCTCCCCCCCACCCCAACCCCCGCACCAGACTCGCCAGTTGGACGCTGCTCTCCAAGCTGCCAGGCTTGCATATTGGCAATCAGATCCATATTGGCCAATATGGCTCGTTAATAATCAGTCATCGATATCAGCCCAAAAAATCTTTATTGGTGCACCCCTATACATCACCTTTACAGCTGTGAAACTGAGTAAATATGTCCATTACATACATTGATATGGATATACTTCATCAAGTAGAGTGTTCTCTGGTTATATTTTGGTTAGATGTCTTGAAATAATGAATAAGCAGCACCATTTTCCAGTAACTAGAATTATGTAGAATTTGGATGGGATTCCAGCTCTTGTAAACAAACCTAACATGGTGATATCAGTCATGTGGACTCGAAATCAAACCTCCTAATTTATTCCTCGTTAATTTTCAAGGATGTAATAATGTTGGTTAGGAAGAGTGTTCACTGAAGTACGAGGTAAAGATTGTTACAGATTGTTTGGAATAATTTTACATAAATTTTTAGTATTATCCATTACTGGTTTAAGTATTTGATTTACCTTGGCTCCTTTCTGTAGTCTGAATATAACATCATAGCCGTAAGGAGGTCTCAGTTTAGATCCAAATGGTCAGATAACTGGAGTAGGATAACCATGGATGCCAGCTTTGTACATTTGAATTAAGTACTCTCAGGATGCCGAAGGAATAATCCAGATTTGATTTAGAAGACATACCTCTTCAACTACCCTCTCTAGGAGGATGATTTTAAGACCTGCATGGGGTAATAGGTGATCTTCATCATTTGAATATTTTTTGTTTTCTATGTTGTGAAGCTGTTGAGACATCAGTTTGGATTTTCCCATTTTTTTTTCTGTTGAACTACAATTTTTATTTCCCATTCATTTTTTTGGAGAATTATTTTTTTAAAGGCAATTCCAAAATGTGAGGCACAAAATTAGATTTTTAGCAGGTATTTAAAGAGAGCAGCATATGTTGAATGAGAGACATTTGCATTTTGCTGAAGTGAATTGAATATGAATGAACAGAAAGAGCACGGAGAACCTGAATCGATAGTGGTCTGTTAATCTGTCAGTAGCCAAGAGCACTGCATCACAGCAAGCCATAAAATGTCTTTTTATATTTTGCTTTTAAAGTTACTCTGATTTGAAATCTGGTCCTAATTTCAGTTTAATGATCTAACTTGTTTTGTGAACTTCAGGCACATTACGCAGTCCAAGCAAGATCCAGGAGCGTTACAAGAAAACGGAAACGTGAAGCATCTGAACCTCCTACATCTGTAGCGCGCAGTCGCAGTTCATCTCGCCCGCCACGTGATACGTCTGGTCTTCGTGATACTAAGGTTTGTTTCAGTATACTAACCTTGTTTAAACTTTTACTAGTAGCTGTAAGGGAGAGTTTACAGAATCCTTGAATAGATTGTTGATGGGAATTTATTATCTGTACAGGTATAAAACTCTGCTCCTGCCTATTCACAGTATATTTTGTGGAGAAAAGATGGAATCTTACAAATATCTTGGTTTCAGGTGTTTGCTCTTTGGTTTAATATCAGAAGTTTGGTCTGATCCCTCTGCTCACTGAAGTTACTGTTTTTGACTTGAATCCAAGACAAAGTTCCCCCTCCCCATTAAATGGGGGGGAAGGAGGGGAAGGGAAGCCCCTTGTCTTGGATTTGAGTACAAGGCATATGCGGGGAGGTGACTGCTGTGGCTTTGGCTTCAGCTGTGACCCAGGGCCAGGGCCGGAGCCCAGCCGTTGCTTGTACTCTAGCAACTTCTGCCCCCACCTTCCTTCAGCCCCCCACTGCCTCTGCTCCCTTGCCTGTTCCTCCACAGACTTGGTAGCAGCCATGCTGCTGCCACTGCTACAGGGCTGGGCTGGGGCCAGAGCAAATATATACTGTGCCCCAGGCTGGAGCAGGGCCAGATCCAGAGCTGGAGCTGGCATGAGGAGCAGAGAGGAGTGATGTGGGGGAAAGGGGACCCAGGGCTGCAGATTGGGAGCAAGTGGTGGGGATGGACAGGCAGCAGGGGGCAGGGTGTGGAGAGGCAAGGGGTAGGTGTCAAGCCCCACCGCCTGCCCTCGGGGCCGCATTGTCTCCCCACTGCCTGCCCTCCTTCTGCTACTGCTTTCCCCATTGCAGCGGGGGGAATGACAAATTTTAAGATAAGCATAGATTCCATATGTGGAAAATTATAATAGATTTATTATTTTTTCATGTCTTGAATCTGATTATCGGGGGCTTGTCTTAAATTCAGAGTCATCTTGGATTTGGATAAATAAATTATTTGATAAACAGTCTTCAAAAGTACAATGGAATACAGAGCAAGGAAGATAATTTGTTAAATGTCATTCTCTTAGTAGTCTTGGTAATATATCTTTGGAGTCCATTTGTTTTAGGAATCTAAGGAAAAATAGCAGTCTAAACTGAAATGGAGTCTTCTCTAGACCTTACATCCTCTTATGTAGTCTGAAAGGAGAACCCAGGAGGTCACTATTAGTATATTTGCATGCTTGCCCAGGGTTTCTTTTCAAAGGAAACTTTCTCTTTTAATATAAGGAATTTTGCCAGGATAGAAGATTGATTTCCCTCACATCCCCCCCCAGCTTGTGTAATTTTTCTTAACATACGGCCTTGATATCCCTACCTTTGTCCTTAAATCTGCACAGGGCAGTTTATATTTACTGCTTGACATTTTAATTTGGGTTTTGTAGGTTTTTAAGTAGAATATTGTTTAAAAGAGAAGAAGGATTAACTTATTTGTATAAAATGTACATTGGTTTTAAATAGATGGTGAAGAAGGTTAAGACTATCATGAAGAATTCTCAGAAGAAAATGAATCGCCTGGGCAAGAAAGGAGAAGCAGATAGACATGTGTTTGACCTGAAACCTAAACACTTACTGTCTGGCAAAAGGAAATCTGGTAAAACACAAAGACGATAAAGCATTCTTCTGAATTAAAACATATCTATATGAAAATTCTTCTATGTTGTCTTTAGCCTTTTTCTTAAAAAATAAAAATCTGAAATAAATTACTGGTAAAAAGCATACATGGACCCCGTTTAATATTAAAGTCTAAAGGTAAAAAGAGAGAGTGCCATTTTAGTTTCATGATCCAGAGTCCATTATTGCAGACACGGGGAAATTGATGGGAATATCACCACTGGAGCCAAAGCTTTGAATGAAGACCTCAGTCTAATTTGCTACCGATTTCCAGCATGATGCCACGTTCATATTATTATGCTCAGTTCACGTGATTACATTTCTCCAGGACATGGAAAGTTTGAGAATTTTTAACATCAGTTACAAACCTAAAGTTGGCATTAGAGGGTTTTGATATTTTCGAATCACCTTAATAGAAACAATTACTTGTTTCTGTTCTTAAATGGCATGTGGCCTATAAAATAGACAAAAATATGCTTTGCATTTGTTTGTTCTCAGCCTTGAATGACCTTTTTGTTCCATTCATCATTCTAAAGAGCATTTAACTTAATCCTTTGCATAGCGAGCAGAGATGCTGGGGAAAAAAATAGGTGCTTTATTTTGCAATAATAGAATTAAAGCAGAACTATTGCCCTACATGTTGCGAAGCTTGTGCTTAACTTTTTCAGACGGTTAAGATCATAGTTTAGATTAAGTGTAGGTAACTCACACTACCAAGTGGATCTTTGTTATGGTGGTGAGACAGCTGTCAGCTGGGAGGAAAGGGAGCTAATTCTGTTCAGCCCTTAGGTTCCCTCTTACTAAAGATAGAGGTTAGAACATAAAATAGGAGGGTGGGGGGCTTCTGGTATTGATGCAGAAGCTGTTTAGGCTGAAACTTTTATTTGGCACTTGTGATAGATCATCAAATGCTGAGGCTGTCCTTAAGCCAAAGAGATTACTCCTGTCCTTATGTAATTGATAATGCTTCCTTTCATCCTTCATTTGAACTGGGATCTTCCAGGAAGACAAGTGGGGATCTTTCTTTCATCAAACCACTTACTCTGGAAAACACGGTGCACTGCTGTTAAACCAAAACATGCTGTAGCACAGTGCTGTAGTCCATCTTTTGTTTTACTTCAGGAAAAACCAGTCAACAGGACAATTTTGGTCACTGATCTTATTTGAGTTCTGTAGAAATACCTGCAAGTCAAACATTGGGTTCAGTCATTCTCTTCTGTTTACTCCTAGTTTGCATTCTTGGGTATAGAAAACATTTAGCTTTCATTTGCAAAACCCACGTACTGAACCACTACGTGTGAAGCTTGTCCATTTGAATTCCGTACTTTTCAACTCTAGCAAGATTGTGTATTAAATATTTCCTTGAAATATCTTGCAGAATTCGTATGAGAGGCCAATGCAACATTACATATTTTCTGTAGGTATACAAAATAATAAAAGAGCTTTGTAAAATCACAAGGTAACTTTTTCTTTAAAACAGCAGCTCTTTAATTTTAAATTATTGCTCATCTTTGCAAATGTTCTGGCAGACGTTCAGACTTGGTTATATAATTTTCAGTTGCAGTGTGTGTCACTTCTGTTCAAGAGCATTTGTCATTAGTTTTAGTAAATGACTATTTAAGTGCTGAACAGAAATCAAGAACTAGGAATGATTTTAATAACTATGCTGACTTCAATAAAATGTTATAGTCTTACCAGAAGACTTTAGCCTTTAATTTGTATCGCATTTAGAAATATTTTTACATTACTGATCTCTTCTAGAATTTTGGTTTGAGAAGCATGGTAGGGTTAGACCTTCCTTTTTTCCTCCACAGTTTAAAAGGCACACTTTTATTTAAAATCAGGACTTCATTAAATGTTAATTTGGTTCTACTAAGTCAGGCAGAAGGAAGAGCACAGTAGCACTTTAGAGACCCATTTCTTGAGAGAGAAATGTATATTTATGACTGAATGAGTTACTTTAATGCAGTGGCTGGCATTTAGACTCAAGGCACCCTTTAGCAAATGCCAGCTCTTATTTTCCTGTAGTCAAAAGAGAGAGAGCATTTCTGACATTATGGATTCCTATTTGAAGTCTCTGGGTTTATCTTGTGAATCATGTGTAGGTGTTTCACATCTTCTAGTGCTAATTATCCCATGGCACCTTAAAAGGATCTTGTGGCAACCTTGTTGAGAAGCTCTGGTCTAAGGTTTGACACTGCCCTGCCTTATGCCTGACTTCAGACTAATGTGGCTCTTGATTTGGTCATAGTAAATTAAAGTAGCTTTATTGCAGTAATGGGTGGAGAGAGGGGAAGCAGTGTTCTGCTGTTCATTTGGGCTTGTAGGACTTCTGACCATTTTAATTCAGTGCACTTTTCTTTTGTTAGACAAGGGCAGACAGGGATCAAATATGTTACTCCTAAACTGCAGCACTGGGTTTAAGTTACATCAAGGTCTCAAAAACAACTGGAGGGGAAGAACAAATAAGACAACGGGCTGAAATTACTTTGAAACCAAATTGAGTGTGTTTAGAACCATTTAAAAGTTCATGCAAGAGACCTGGCATAGCATGCTATTACATAGAGCTTCAGATCCTAGAATTACCCTTTCTTCAAAAAAAAAAAAAATCTAGTGACTTGATGGGAGGAAAAATGGCCTATGTTACAAGATGATGTAACCTTTATCTAGGCATTTCAGATACAATTCAGACTGAATGGAATAAGTTAATTCAAGCTGTTTTTTATTTTGGAATTGTAATTAAGTTTTAACAGAGTTCTCCACAGCCAAGTAACTTGTGTCCTTGGACAATGAGTTACAAATACGCAGTAACAAAATCCCAACACACATTTTATGTTAAAGTTTTGAAGACAGCATATTTTATTTGAAATTTTCAGGGGTACCCTTTAGATTCCTTATAAGCTATTCACATGGTAGGGAAAATGCATGTATGCATTTAAAGAACACTTGGGTTTTGTGCACTTAAATACTTTAGCAGCAAGAATGCTTTAGCTCAGTGCTTCTTCAGCATTTTTGGACTTGAGGACCACTCTATAATTTCTGCAAATTGAATGGCACTGGTTCAAAAAGTAATTTATAGATTACAGTGCTAACCTTCCTTGAAGAAGGGCCTGATAGTGGGGACGGGATAGTCCAGGTAGGGACAAGCTTGAGCCTGCACTTATCTGCTTACCATCTTAACACCTCGCATCTCATGGCACCCCACAGCGCCCCCAACCCCCAGGTTGGAAATCACTATTTTAGCTTAATAATTCAGATGTTAGTTTCATTCATTTATTTTTTTTAATCTACCATCTACATTTGCATACATGCTTAAAAGAAGAGACATTGTGCTGGTATATTTACAGGAAGATGTTTTTAAAAGCCAGCTACCATGTTTTTTTCACATACCACATGCCCCTAAATAAGACATACAGTTTTAAGAAGGCAGAATAAAGAAAAACCAAACATCCAGAGTTGGGCCAAAAGCCCATTTCAAGGGATCCTGACTAGTTAAAAGCTTGCTTTAACCCTTTCACAGCAGCTAAGTTAATACATTTTGCAGCAGCTGTGAAAGGGTTAAAGTTGTGAGCTGAAGACAAAACATCTTTCATAGACGAGCCTATGAACTTCACTCCATAAATCTATTGGATACAAAAAATCATGGAGTTAATACTGATATTGGATTTATAACCAATTGCAACCTGCCAGACAAGCACACCAGGTAATTTGCTTTTAGCTGACCACTCGCATTCCTTCCCACTTTTGTCTCCCTCCCATACCCCTCTTATCTTTACCCTTTGTATTCCAACTCATTTACATCTTCACAGACTTCTTGTTTACTTTAGTTTCCTTCCTACCTTGGAGAACTCATAACAGCAGCAGTCTCCCAGTGCCTGAAAAAGGGTGAAAGCTTGCAAAGAACTTCTTTCTAACTATTTAGTTGATCTAATAAAAGTTATCACATCTGCCCAAAGGACCTTGCCCAAACTGAAGACCACATTCCTCCCCTGGCTGGGAGAAACAGCTGACAGCCATTATACTGTCCTTACGTTTTTATTTTTGAGCTGCAATTAATTTCCTTGCTTACAATATGTACCTGAATTTTGGAAGGCTGAATTTGGGGAAAAAGGTGGATGCAGTATGTAAATAAATATGATATTTTAAGTTTTAGTATCTAATGCATCAAATCAGAAATGATATTTTTCAGTATCTAGTCCACAAATACATTGGAGCATAAAGTAAAGCTGGTGTTACATACTGCTGACATTTAGAAAACTAGTTATCAACCAGCCAAAGAGGGGGAAAATGTTATTTAAAAACCCAATACATTCCTTGTGTACATCATAGTTACAATAGAAATGATGCCTCTTACAACAGTATTAGAACTTAGCATGTGGCAAGTAGACTTTTTTATTGAGACTGCAGTACTAGTCCTTGTGAATTTCAAGCTTGCATTAATCAATCCAGGAAATCTTAAATAAAGAATAAACCTTTGTCTACAGGAGGTTGGTAACTCCTTTATAGAAACTTCTTATAGGACACAGCTGAAACAAGATACAGTCCATATAAGAATTTTAAGACAAACTGAAAAGATTACTTTGTGAATTTGATGAAATTCTGCTTATTTTCAAGTACTTTTTCCCCTTGATGAGAAGTCCCTTGAATATCAACAAGGAAGCCAAAATCCGTTTTTATGGAGCCTGCCAAGAATCAGCTGGATTGTTGGCCAGTGGGAAACATTGTGAGGCTAGTTGGTGACCTTGGTGCAGTTCTAATCCTGCCACACATTCAATTTAAGGCATGATGGAAACAAGCCACCAAAATATTATGCAAGAAACATTACAAGAAACATGTAGTTTTTTGGTGGTTTCCTTTTTTGTGGTGCCATCAATTCCTTGAACTTGTGGCCCAGTTACCATTTAAGCAGCAATTAACAGGCTAATTGCACTGTAACACTTGCCAGGGGCCTCATACATTGATCAGTTACTTTTGGACAAATGTAACTGCTGACACTCACTTTTAAAGAAAGACCAAAAACTGAATAGACTCAGACTAAATTATGCTTTATTGTTGGTGCAGGTCCTTCTACCATAGGCTACATAGAAGAACAATTTCCCCACCAACATTACACTTTTTTAAAGGAAAACAGAAACTGTCCCCTTTCATAGTAAATTCCCAGTAAATTCCCACAAAAGATGCCCCAGATGTACTATCTATCAGTCCTTAGCTATAAGAATTAATGTTACCATAGAGCCAACTAGTGTGGTATCCTCTTCTTATGTGCCTATGCTTTTTTACATTCTGTGTATATTTTTGTGATCAAGAAATCTATTAAGGTTTTTCAAGTTATCCCACCACCTAAAAAGAAAAGTCTCTGCTACTAATTTGAACCATGGAGTAATCTTAATTTCATTTCTTGATGCTTTTTTCAAGAGTTGTTTTAGTTCTTTCTGTGTCACATAACAGTGGCTTTTGATTTCATTAGGATCAGGACTCAGTGTTACATCTTTCTGCACAAACAAAATGTAATCAATTTCATGTTCTCCCCAGATTCCATCAGACTTGGCCTTGTAGTGAATTCGTGTTAAGTAGCAGATGTCTTCTGGAGTTACCTGCATACAAGATTATTATTAGTAAGACAGCAATAAGAGGTAGAGAAAACTGGTCAATATACTTAAATTCAACTTGAACAAAATTTTTGATAGTCCTTCTCCAGAGTCACCAACCAATTAGTTAAAAGACACTCTAATTAACATTTGAGGTCTGGGAGTATTGTAGCTTATTTTCAAAAGCGAATGAACGAGACATCTTATTCATACAAATTGTTCAGCTGCCTTCTTTTAGACTGAAGATGACAAATACTATTTAAAGGCTGTGAGGTAACAGACAAAATTTTTAGGATCTTGAACAATTGAATTTGCAAGTTATGCTACATGTCTCAGCCTGATAATTACTGCTTGCAAAATGCAAATAAACAGGTCGGCATTTGTTGGATTATCCTTTCACAACTTAGCCAAATGGTACCAAGATCCTCTCCATTACCTGTTCCATGGGAATTCCCAGTTCTGCTTTTAATCGTCTCTGCGCTGCTCTTCGTACACCAATAGCATCACCTTCTTCTAATTCTAGTGGAGTACTTAGCGGATGACTGCAACAAGTATTGGTAAAACAATCTGCAAGGAATAAGTTTTCAGAAAAGAATAATGTTGCAAAAACCAGAATGTAGAACTCCAAGGCTTCTCCAAAAAAGTTTTGGACTTTTTCAAAATGTAATTAAAAAAAGAACTTGGCAGAGATGTTCTTCCCCTGATAATATTTCTAATGGACATATTTTAATGCGACTGCCTATGACTGTCTTCTTACCCTCTGTAGAACAGCATAGGGCATCTATTGTTGCCAAGTCAGCCAAGGAACAAACACCATGCTATATATAGCTTGTGGGCTATTCCCAGAGCAGTTACTGGCAATTTAATAAGCAACAGATGCTAGAGAATACACTTCTTCACAGCTGATTATGTACTCCAGTTAAGTAATACCAATTGGTGTAACTAAATACTAAAGATGTTAAGGAGAAATCAGAGGCACTGGTTTTCAAACTTACAAGCCTCTGATTGCCTCCCCAAAACATTCCTCTGGTCCACTTCACCCTGAGTTATTTCAACTATCCCTTTCCAAGGGCAATCCAAAAGGACTAAGCTCAATTTGTATGGACTTATGCAACCTCCTTTCACCTTGTTTTGAATCCCCTGTCCACTGAAAGATGCAACACATACACCTTATACTTTCATAAGCAAGTATAAACAAGCAAGGGACAAGTTTTCTAAGCCTCTAATTTATGTTCACATATATTTCCCTTTTTCCAGAGCATGCAACAAAGTAGGTTGTTGTTTACTAAAACTCATGTTTCTCTGATCCAATCAGTCTCTAAGGTGCCACCAGCCACTGTACCCTATTTTCTTCCTCACTTCAGGCATTCACAGCTAATCACTTCTCTCTCCATCTATTAGAGAAGCACATGCCTAGAATTAAGTAACTCTTTCTTCTGTCAGCGAAAGTTTATCCTATAGTTTGTATAAAGAAACTATATAAGAAAATGAAACGGAGACCATACAACTCTTTCATTTGCATGAAATGTTTACAACTTACCTGGAAAGGTAATTTTAGCATCTGATCTCTGCTGCAGCAGCAGTTTGTCTTCTGTATTGAACAGGAAAACACTGAAAGCACGGTGCAATAATCCTAAAGATAGACGTAATACAAGTGAGTCTCCAAAATAAAGGATTCATGCAATAGTGCAATACAAGGGCTATGTTTATGGGACCTGAACAGACTCACCACGTTCAAGCTAGATAACAGGAGACACTACTTCACTGTCAGGGTGTCTAGGAGCTGGAACCAACTTCCAAGGGAAGTGGTGCTCGCCCCTACCCTGGGGGTCTTCAAAAGGAGGCTAGACAGCCACCTAGCTGGGGTCATTTGACTCCAGCATCCTTTCCTGCCCGTGGCAGGGTGTCAGACTAGATGATCTGCTTAGGTCGTTTCCGACCCTACTAACTGAATCTCACACACGTTGAAAAACTTTTAAAAAGAAACTGGTAATAACATTTTTGAACGCCTTAGCATCAGCTTTTCCACAATATCCTAAAAATCTGCTCTGAATTTTTCACTGAGCATAGTTAAACCCCTGTTCAGTCTGATGTCCCCTCAAGTCTTTCAGACCATAGGCATGTATGCATGCACATACCCTACTGTGAAGTAAATGAAAGTAGGGATTTGTGGTATATCACATGCTCACTGAAAATTAGGATTGTCAAACTATTAAAAAATCCTGATCGTGATTAGTTACATGATTAAAAAAAGTTAGTCACAATCATGATTTTAATCCCACCACTAAAAATTCAGAGTTATGCAAAATTATGCAGGCACTTTGTATGGTTGGGGGTGGGTATGGGGTATGTGTTTGTAGGGGAGCTGTGGGTATGTGGGCGGTCTGGAACCTGGGGAGGGGGGGATCCCCACATGCCCTGGCAGGATGCAGGGTACTCTGGGTCAGGAGTGAAGGGCAGCACCAGGGCTGGGGGGGGCGGGCTGTGGCTTGGGTGTGAGGGGTATGGGCATATTGCTGCCCCTTTACTGCAAAGAAGGGCATGTACATGGGCACTTACTACAGAGCAACTGACATGCTATAAATCCCTATCATTTACTCTGGAGTATAACTTGCTCAGTGCCCATCCCTAGGGCCTACTGAGTCCTGTTCCTGGCCAGGCTCAGCCTTTCATAGTTCTGGACAGGCTGTTCAAATTCCAGACCAACTCTGGACCGTCCTCAGATCCCAGTGATGGAAACAAAATAAAGAAATGAAGTAGATAGGAACTTTCACATGAATTGATGGGCTTGTTCTTCCTTTCCCTTAATAAAAATGTTCCTAGTAACTGCTAAAAGATAAATGGAGTTTACTAATTCTGCTATGAAGTGTCATTAATTGGCTCTACCAAAAATGAAATAAAATTCAATCACATTATTATGCTTCCAGCTGACAATTACTAAAGAAGAGACTTGAGAGGGGATATGTTAGATTGTCAGAAGCCTCGCAATATAAATTACAATCACTGATATTAATTTAAGAAAGACATTTGAAACTACCTTTTTCAATGTTTTCATTCAGATGGCAATTTTTCTTAGTGTCTGCACCAATCTTCTTGTCATTTTCATCAATAAGAATGCACATCTCAGCCAACAGCTGCACCTGCTGCTCATCAAGACTGTCTGTGTTTACTTCAGGCATTGTTCCGGTACTATGACTGAAAACACTGATGGGAAAGTGAAAGTTGTTACTGAGCAAGTTCAATGCCCTGCAAATTTTTAAACTTAAGTTATAAAACCTTACATGGCAGGGTATTTCCACAGGGGGCACAGCTCATTTTACAAAGAGAGTTAAATTTGTAATAACACATATTTAGAAGAGACACAATCCCTAGTTGATTGTTTTTTTTTAGAATGAAGAAAATGCTGAAGGCAGCTAATATAAGAAGAGTTGCTTCACATCAACAGAGAAAGAAGAAACTTAGATTTTTCTGGATTCATGTGTGCCACGGTTATTAAAAAGGAGAGGGGGAAAAAGGTTGGTTGTTTTTTTTAAGTGAGTTTGTGGAAAGGATCCATCAGTAGCATTTAATGGAAGAATAAACGATTCATTTTGGCTGTTATTCCTGTAATCGGTTGGATTTTCATAGATAGAATGTGTCAGGCTAAAATCCTGGCCAGGATATGTAACATTCACTCTATAAATACAGATGTAATAGATTTCTCACTAGGACTCCACTTACTCTCTTCTGGAAAGAGAGCACCATCTCCTACACAGCAGTCCTCAGGCTTGCAGACAACAATAGGACACAACTGGAGCCTGCGGAGATTCTCTAGGAAAGAAGGTCTAATACAAGATTTTATAGCGTGTGCACTCCCGAACTGTGGGGTCACGCTTTCCCTTACGAGTGCAGCTTAAGCCCCCATCACCAAGCCTCAGCTTCAGACAAACTACTGCAAAGACCACACATGCTAGTAGCAGGAACCTGGGCGGATTAACTGTTGGAACCAGTAGTTACGTTCTGGTTCCCGGATACAACTTACACAGCGGAGGAGCCTGTAAATACTTGCAGGATCAAGACCTTGAGATTTTATCAATCAGATAGGAGAGAACTAGAAAGATGTGCAGATTGTGCAGAGGGGCTATGGTAAACACAGGTCATCAATTTGCAGCAGCAGTCCTCAGGAACTTGATAGTCTTTCTCCCCTAGATACACCCACTGAATCAACTCTGCCTTTGACAAGTACCAAGTCCCGACTCGCATTTTGGCTCAGCTAGGATGAGTGATTATTCAGTTACCAAAGAGCGCGCAAAGTAATTCTGGGAGCGAGGCATTTCAAATGACACCAGCGCTGCTGGCCCCACGCGCTCATCCCCCCGGCCGCGCAACTCGCTGAAAAGGAATTCTCTAATAAACGAGCATTTCCATCGGCCCGAGATCGCTCTGCACTTCCGATGCGGTATTGTCAGCACTTCCCTTCGGCTCCCGCATGGACTAGAGAACGAGGATGTCTATTTTAAATGCAAACACTGTTTCTCAATAAACTGCCCGTCTCCTTGATCTGAAGCGCTTAAAACCTGCTGTTGTGAGACTCGCATGCAAAGCCCGGCAGACGGAGGCTGTCGAGCCTGTTTAGCTTCTGTTCTTGCCGAGGAGCCAGAGGCCTCTACAGGCATGGTCACAAGCGCGTCTCTCCCCTCTTGGTCTTCCTGCTGGTGCTCTCCCTGCGCCGCAACTGGCTACAGCGCCGGGAGCCGGCATCGCCCAAGGGCCGCTCGAGCCTGGGAGGTGCAAAC